GGCAGATTGCCCTGCGCGACGCGAGCCCCGTCTTCTCCCGCGCAGAGATGAACGAGCGGCCGCGCGCCGCACTTCCCCCCGACCTCTGACGGCAGGGGCGGGCGCGGCATTCGCGCGAGGCGCTCTTCGGAGCGAGGCCGGCCCCCGCGCTGCTGCGGGCGCGCGCCGGCGACGCGTTCGAGGAGAGCGCGCGCCTCCGCGGGGGCGGGCGGCTCCGCGCCCAGGCGCGACTGCGGCGCGGGGCCAGTTATCGCCCCGGGCATTCGCGGCGACGCCTTCGCCGCAGAGGGCGGTTCCCCGAAGCAGGGGCGCATCGAGATCAGGGGTCGCGGGCGGCAGCGGCGGTCGATTGTTTAAAGGGTACATCGAGTGGCGGGAGTCTCCGCTCTCCGCCTCCTCGATTCGCCTGGAGGGCCGGCGACTCGCGCGTGGGCGACCTGCTCGCGGTCTTGGACGGTTCAACGGACGCGACGCAGGCGCAGACGAGTCCAGCCAGGGTGCGCCGCAGGTGCAGCGCTTCGCGAAGATGGCGGCGGCCGAGGCTTCGAATCCGACGCTGAAGCGAGCGCCTCGGCACCTGTTCGGCGTCGCGGTCGCGGAGTGGAGCTGTTTTGCGCGGGGCCTGCCCGCGGGGGCCGCGGTCGAGGCCGAGCGCCTGGGGGCGGGGCTCAGACGCGAAGTCCACGCAATTTACGGTGATTCCATTCGGGGATTGCCTAGAGGCGACGACGTCGACTCAGGAGTGTGCGGCGACGTCGGGCGGCGGCGCGGCGGAACAGCCCCGAATTGGCCGTCAACAGGGCGGGCGCGTCCGCCATCCTGTCGCAGCAGATCATCGCGCTCTGTAGCACCCCGACTCCACGGGCTGCCAGCGTGGTCATCTCGGCCGCCCGAGGGCTTGCCCACCTCGCGAGGACGAAGGACTTGAAGGTCATCGAGCGGATCGCGCTGGTGGACCGAGCGGACGTAGCAGCGCCTCGAGCAGTCGCGACGACAGCGTGCTTGCGCGGCGCAGCGGGGCGAACCGCAGCCGCAGCAGCCGACGTTGGACATCGCGAATGGGACTGGCATCGTCATGCCGCCATTACTACTTTTCATGCTGATCTGCGCGCTGGGAGCCACGGTAGCGGCGCGCTGCCTCCTCGAGGCGCGCCCGAGGGAGCGCGCGCTCGACGGCGCGGGCGACCAGGTCAGGATGGGCACCGACGACGAGCTGGACGGCGAGGCGAGCGGCGAGCGGCGCACCGCGGACACTTACGAACCGAGGTCGCCAGCGGGAACCCGCGCGGAAGCGATCGAGTCGCCGACGGGGAGATTCGCGGACGCGGGCCTGAAGGCGAACCTTGCCAAAGGGCTGGCGCGGATAGCGACGCCGTCCAGGCTCATCTTGGGCCGCGGGATGACGATCGACGATCTGGCCTGGTCGCCAGCCGCAGAGAACGACGCCGCGGGGCGCCATGCCAAAGTCGCGCGCGAAGTGCAGACGCATTGCGCCCCTCTCGGCTCGTAAAACAACGCGAGAGGGCCGCTCGCTGCACGCGCGCGACTTCCGGGCACGAATGCCAGAACGCCAACTTTGGTACTTCTACACCGCGAATCATTGCGATTGCTGCGTCCTGACAAACACAATTTCTAGGGCGTCACCCGTGCGATTCCGTTGAACTGTTGCAAATCTTTGACACGAATGCGCGCGGTGCTAAGGCCCTGCATCCTTGAAGTTGCCTGCTGATTTTTACGCCGGGTGCGCGCGGCGCTAGTGCGAGACTCACAGTTTGAAAACGGCACGGCCTCCATCAGCGAAAACACTAGCAGATTCCAGAATTCATGATCATGGGTGGTGAGAAGTCTCAAGCCAAACGCCCGTCCCGCCCAGCCGACACGCCAGGAGGTGCGGCTGGGGGGGAGTCATCTATAAGCAACACAGATGGATTGGGATTCCCACCCGTGGGCCTGGCCCACCGACCGAACCCGGACGCCGGTGGTCGATTTTGATGGAGACGCAATGCAGGAAGACAGGATAGGCACGACTGGGTCGGTGGATGAGGAGGAGGGGGATGGGGAGGGAATGGCGACGGGATGGGAAAAAGGCTTGAGCTGGGGGAGGGCAAGGGGCGGGGGAAGGGAGGGGCGAGGGGGCGAAGGACGAGGCAGGGCACGGGGAAGGAGAAGGCGGGTGTGAGCGACAAGGAGGTATTGGTTGACGAGAAGCGGGGGATGGAAATCAATTGGGCAAGCGAGGGCGTATGCTGAGGAATGTGAGAGAGGATGCGTGGGACTTGCGGAGGAAAAGGGCGAGAAGCAAAGACGATAGGGATGACGACGGGGAGAAATGGGAGGAGGAGGAGGATGTGGAGGAGGAGGAGGAGGAAGAGGAGGAGGAGGAACAGGAGGCACAGGAAAAGGAAGGAACGGGCTGAGCAGCAGGAGGCCGGGAGGCGGAGGGTAGTAGGGAGGACGGTTGAGGGAGGCAAGCGGCGGGAGGAAAGCGTAGGATCTGGGACGATTTGGACGGGGGTGGGAGGGAGGCCGCATCAGAGAGAGGGCATGGGGGAGGAGAAGTTGGTGCAGTAGGAGGAGGAGGATGTGAGGGCTCCAGTCCATGGAAACAGTCAGAGATGCCCGCCTTTGTAAGGCTACGATGAGGTCGAGTAAAGGGCACAAGGCAGGACGCAGGAGGGAGCAGGGACGGAAGAGGGAGGAGGGAGACGAAGGCAGTGAGAAATAGCGCTGGAATGAGGAAGAGCGGAGGACAGAGGGGAGGACTGAATAATGTGGCTCGAGTTGAAGAGGGATCTTGGGCAATGCTGATGATGATGGTGATGATGATGCTGATGATGATGATGGTGTTGATGATGATGATGATGATGATGATGATGATGATGATACTGATACTGATGACGATGGTGATACTGATGATGATGATGCTTATGATGATGCTGATGATGATGATGGTGATGGTGATGATGGTGATGGTGATGCTGATGGTGATGGTGATGGTGATGATGATGCTGATGATGATGACGATTATGATGATGCTGATGATGGTGATGATGATGGTGATGATGCGGATGATGATGCTGATAGGAGAAGGAGGATTGATGATAGTTATGCTGGTTAATATGATGACAATGATGATGCTGATGATGATAATGTTGATGATGATGGTGTTGATGATGACGATGCTAATATTGATTCTGGTGGTAGTGATGATGATGCTGATTATTACCAGTATTATTTTGATGATGCTGTTGATGGTAATGGTGACGATGGCGACGATGATGATGAGGAGGAGGAGGAGAAGGAGGAGGATGGCGGTGCTGATGGTGAGGATTATGGTGGTGGTGATGCTGAAGATAATGGTGGTGGTGGTGATGCTCATGATAATGACGACGACGCCCTTGATGATGATCATCATCATCATCTTGATCATGATGGTGGTGATGATGGTGATGATGATGGTGATAGTGATGGTAACGATGCTGATGATGATGATGATGATGACGATGCTGATGATGATGAGGAGGAGGAGGAGGAGGATGGCGGTGCTGATGTTGAGGGCTACAGGAATGTCAAAGATGCTGAGGATGATGGTGGTGATGATGATGATGATGGTGTTGATGATGACGACGACCATGACGATGTGGATGGTGATCTGGTGATGATGACGATGACGATTATGATGATGTTGATGATGATGACGATGATTGTGAAGGTGATGATTGTGATGATGGTAATGATGGCGGTGCTGATAGTGACGATGATGTTGACGGTTCTGATGTTGATGATGACAACGGCGGCGGCGGCCACGATGATGATGATGATGATGGTGATGATGATGACGACGACTATGATGTCAAATGACGATGGCGATGACGATGATGGTGATGGTAGTGGTGGTGATGATGATGGTGATGATGGTGATGATGATGATGTCGATGATGACTGTGACGACGACAATGATGATGATGCTGATGACGATGCTGATGATGATGACGATGATGATGACGATGATGATGGTGGTGATGATTTTGATGATGATGCTGATGTTGTTGATGATGATGCGTGTGATGGGGATCGTGGTGGTGATGATGACGATGGGCTGCTGCTGATGATGATGTTGGTGGTGTTGTTGGAAGTGGTGGTGATGATGGTGATTGATGATGATTATGATGATGATTATGATGATGATGATGATGATGATGATGATGATGATAATGATGCTGATGATGAGGACGAGGATGAGGATGAGGATGAGGATGAGGATAATGATGATGATGATGATGGTGGTGATGGTGGTGGTGATGGTGATGATGATGCTGATGATGATGCTGCTGATGTTGATGATGCTGATGCTGATGATGATGATGCTGATGCTGATGCTGATGCTGATGATGATGATGATGATGATGATGATGATGATGATGGTGATGATGATGGTGATGATGATGATGATGATGATGATGATGATGATGTGATGAATGATAATGAATGATGATGATGATGATTGATGAGTTGATGATGATGGTGGTGGTGTGGGGGTGGTGGTGGTGGTGGTGATGATGATGATGATGATGATGACGATGATGCTGATGATGATGAAGATGAGGAGGAGGAGGAGGAGGAGGAGGAGGAGGAGGAGTTGGAGGAGGCAGTAAGGAGGAGGAGGGATGAGGGGGGTGGGGGGGCGGAGAGGAGGAGGAGGAGGAGGAGGAGGAGGAGGAGGAAGCAGGAGGAGGAGGAGACGAGGAAAGTGGAAAGGGGGGAGTAGGAGGAGGAGGAGAAGGAGGAGGAGGAGGAGGAAGAGGAGGAGGAGGAGGAGGAGGAGGAGGAGGAGGACGACGAGGGGGGTGGAAAAGAGGGAGGAGGTGGAGGACGAGGAGGAGGAGGAGGAGGAGGAAGAAAAAACGGGAGGAGGAGGAGGAGGAGGAAGCGGAGGAGGAGGAGGAGGCAGAAGAGGAATGCCCGCGCCCTTCGCTGGCCAGCCGCGGGCCCGCTGGCAGGCCGGTTGCCGGATGCTGCAGCTGAGGCTCGAGAAGGCCGTCGCCCAGGTGCCGGGGGAGTGCTGGCGCGGCCGGCAATCGTCGGCTACAGTGGGGGCGCGGCCACAAGAAACCATCGCAAGAAACCGAACCCTGAAAAGCCGCGAAGTTTCTTGCCCAGGGCTTGGGTTTCTTAACCGATGGCGTCGCAAGGAGAAACCCAGGGGGCCCTGGCCCGAGCAGTTTCTTAGCAGGCCGCGCTCATAGAATATGCCAGCACGGCTTGGGGAGAAACTCGTAGCTATCTGGGATGTAAACTACATGGGATTTCGGCAGCGACCCCGTGGCCAAAGGGAATCCTCGGGTGCCCCGAGAAAACCCGTAACATATTCTCTCGTCGCCGCTAACGCCCGACGGCCAGTCCCAAGGTTCCAAGAAACCGAAGGCGCATTGGCGGGTCGCGAAATTTCCCCGCACCCCCCGCCGCGCCACATCCTGTCTGGGGTTGCGCCACATTCACGAGAGCCCGTGTTAACTTCAAAATCCAATCGGTCACCGTTAAGGGCTGCCTTTAGTGTCCAGGCCAGCATGGCGACTTTCGTATCCTGGACAATACAGAACCAATGCTGACAATGCAAACCTTATCCGGCCAGGGCACACGGCGCGCCCACGTGCGCGGGGAGTGTTGCATTGCCCACATGAGAACACTCACAAGATCCCGTGTTAACTTCAAAATCCAAGTGGTCACCGTTAAGGGTTGATTTTCGTTTCCAAGTGAACATGGCGACTTTTTGTATTCTGGAGAATACAGAACCTACTTATGCTGGAAATGCAAGCCTTAGCAGGCTAGGGCACACGGCGCGTACGCGCGCGCTGTGTGTGCGGGGAGTGCTGTATTGTCCACAACACATAACGTTCACAAGAACCCATGTGAACTTCAAAATCCAATCGGTCATAATCGGTCACCGTTAAGGGTGGACTTTCGTGTCCAGGCCAACGTGCCGACTTTTCGATTCTGGACAATACAGAACCTGTTCTGACAATGCAAACCTTATCCGGCCAGGGCACACGGCGAGTACGCGCGCGGTGCTGTATTGTCCACAATAGAAAACATTCACAAGAACCCATGTTAACTTCAAAATCCCATCGGTCACCGTTAAGGATGGACCTCTAGTTTCCAGGCCAACATAGCGACTTTTGTATTCTGAGCAATACACAACCAATGCTGACAATGCAAGCCATATCAGGCCACGGCGCACGCTCGCTCGCCCGCGTGCGCGGGGAGTGCTGTATTGTCGCAAGGATGCAATAAACTCAAGGAGCCTTTGGCGCCTGGGGGTTTCTTCGGTAGCGGGCCGTTTGATTGTCCGAAGTGCAGCTGGGAAGAAACCCAGAGGATCCTGGGCACGAAAGCTTCTTGGCAACCGCGAGAACCCATCGCGCAACACGCGGCGCGAAGAAACCAAAGGCACCCTGACGAAAGACATCCGATTTCTTGATGCGCGCCACCAGTGTACACGTCGGCTACACGTAAAAGTGAACTTTCACCGGGGTGACCTGTGGCGCGGGCACACTGAGGTCCTCATCTGGTTGAATTCGATGCGATAGCAGCGTCGTGCGCGCTCGAGCTTGGCCTCCACGTGGCACCCGAAAGCCGCGCACCAAGGGTCACTCTTGCCCATGCGTGTAGCCAGTGCACGTAAGTTCCAGCGGTTCAGAGATGCGGCCCTGAGAAATGGGGCACGGGGGGAAGGGTATCCAAAGCTAGGCCAATGGTCATCGAGAATGAAAGAGCCCCTAACCCTGAACAGAGTTAAAGACGTGGTCTCACTTATGTCCCCGTTTTTGCATTAGGGATGATAGGTCTGGGCGGTTTGGTTCGATACATCTGCAGAAAGACCCCCTGTCCCTGATGATTATGACTCTCCCAATTTTGGTTCCCTCCCAAAGGATTAGGGGTCCTTTTATTGCTAGTTGCTCGGGGCCCGACCCTTGCGGGCCCCACCGCTGGGCCGCCGAAGTCTAGGTCACCCCCGGGGGCGCCAAGAGATTCGCGTTTCGCACATGACGGCTTGGGTTGGGGAGGCGCCGTTCTCCAGACGTCGCCTCGAGGATTTGGAGACCGCCGCGCATCGCACATCGCGGGGCGCGATGCTCGAAGGTAGGCGATTTAGGCAAAGGTGGCCCTTCGCTGGAGTGACCCGCGGTGCGGTTTTTGAAGGGGGGCGGGGGGGGCCAAACCTGAGCGCGCAGGTTGCCACTGTCGCATCGCATACGTCGATCGGCACGCCGCGCACCACGGGTCATTCTTGCCCAGTGCCGCCCTTGCTTGTAGCCAAACGTCCGTTGCCGTGCATGGCTCTCAGCGAGCATCAGCACCGTCCACTCCTCTGACCCTTGCCTGTATCTCCTCCTCCTCCTCCTCCTCCTCCTCCCCCTCCTCCTCATCCTCATCCTCATCCCCATCCCCATCCTCCTCCTTCTCCTCCTCCTCCTCCTTCTCCCCTCCTCCTTTTCATCTTCATCTTCTTCCTCCTCCTCCTCCCTCCTTTCTCCTCGTCCCTCCTTCCTCTTCCTCCTCCTCCTCCTCGTCCTCCTCCCCATTCTCCGTCTCCTCCTCTTCCTCCTCCTCCTCATCCTCATCCTCATCCTCATCCTTCTCCTCCCCGACCCTCCTCCTCCTCCTCCTCCAGTCGTTTCCTCTCTTTTGTGAAGGCTAGATAGTCAGGGTTTCGTAGCCTGGCTCGACATCTTCTGGCACATACAGCTACCGTGCTTGAAGCCAGACACAGTGTAGACAGGAAACTCACAGAGCGCTTTACACGTGGTGCTTTCCCTACGTCGGAAACAAAGGTGTCGTTCGTGTCAACGTCGGCCTGCCCCGCGTCACGCTGGAGACGGAACGGACCACGGGTGTCTGCAGCCCTTAAGGCAGGCGCGCCCCCGGGCAAGAGACACCCTACCATAATGGGTGCACTCGGCCCGCGGGGATGGGCACATAATTCAAAGATGCTTGTGCCCTTGTTACAGTTTTCGACAAGTTGTATTCGCTGTCACATTTTCCATATTCCATTCACTTGCTTGTGCTTTGGTTGCAGTGTTTCGATAATATTGTGTTTCGATAGTACTGTATTCAGTGTTGCAAAGGCGGTTGTCTCTCATCAAGCGATTTTGTCAATCATAAGGCAAACTCCTCCTCCTCCTCCTCCTCCTTTTTTACATTACACCCCTCCATCCCTCCCTCCCTCCCGACACCTACAGAACGTCTCTCCCCCCTCCCCTCATCCCTTACTTCTCATCCTCCTCCTGCGCATCCCTAATCCTCTTCGTCCATCCTCCTCCTCCATCCTGCTCTTGCATATCTCATTTCTCTCATCCCTCCTTCCTCCTTTCCTCCTCCTCTTCCTCTTTTTTCCATCCTATTCCGCCACTCCTTCAATCCTATTCATATTCCTCCTCCTCTCTTTCCTCTCCCTCCCGTCCCTCCCTCCTCCGCACCCACTCTTCCTCCTTTACTCCTACCTCCATCCTGCATCCTCCCCCCTCCTCCTCCTCCCTCCTCCTCCTCCTCCTCCTCTTTCTCCCCCTTCTCCTCCGCCTCATCCTCCTCTCCTCTTCCTCCTCCTCCTCCTCTCTTCCTTCTCCTTCCTCCTCAGCATCATCATCCTCATCCCCCTCCCCTCCTCCTCCTCACCTCCTACTCTCCTCCTCCTCCTCTTCCTCCCTCCTCCTCGTTCCTCGTCATTCCTCATCCCCATCAGCCTCCTCGGGGGGGTCCTCATCCTCCTCCATGCTGCTCCTCCTCTCCTCCTCTTCCTAATTCCGCCTCATTTCCCCCCTTCCCTCTCTCTCCTCCTCCTCATCCTCCTCCTCCTCTTCCTCCTCCCCCCCTCCTCCTCCACCTCCTCCAGTCCTCTTCCTTATACATAGCCTTCCCTGTTGAACCCCGAGGCACATTCTTAATTAGGGCTGGCCGGGTTTTTCACTTGAGACTTCCTCTTCGCTGATGACCCTGCAGTTTAAACATTGGCAGCCGCTTCTCAAATGTAGGGCGGGTGGGTTCCAACATGTCGTTTTCATCCTTAGCGCCGCGCACGCTCTTTTTTTCAGCTTTGCAAGAGCTTCACGGATTGAGGGCGACCCGTTTTCAAGAAGTGGTTTTCGCCTCAGGGCCGAGTTCATTCGTTTTTAACTTGTGCAAGAGCTTCACGGATTGAGGGGGGTCCGTTTTCAAAATGTGGTTCTCGCTTGAGCGCCGCGTACATTCGTTTAACACATTAGCAAAAGCTTCACGGATTGAGGGGGACCCGTTTTCAAAATGTGGTTCTCGCCTCAGCGCCGCACGCATTCGTTCTTACCAGCTGCAATATGTTCACGGGTTCCCGTGACCAGGGTACCATAATTGGTGTTTGGGAAGGATTCATAATTATGAGGGTGCAACAGTTACGTTGGTTCGTTGCGTTTAAATTTAAGGAATGGCCGTTCTGGCACGATTCAGCATCGTCAAGACGCAACAGTCAGGTTGATCCGTGGCGCTGGAATCCCGAGAACTACGTTTTGGCATGCTTCTGGGTCTTCAAACGGTTCTCTTGCATCGAGGCAGTTCCCTCAGTGGAGATGAACCTTTGTATGGGGCCTATGGAAAAGAGAGCTGGGAGGAAGGATATATTCCAACATCGTTGATGATGCTGTGGTTTACACTGGTCCTCCTCCTCCTCCTCCTCCTCCTCCTCCTCCTCCTCCTCCTCCCCCTCCTCCATTTTGTGTCTTGGCCAGGGAGGCATACACACACACACACACACACACACGCCGGATCCTGGGCCCCAGGATCGGCCCGCCCACGATCGGCGGGGTGGGCAGAGTTGACGTCCCCCGCTGCTCGTGCTCGCAGTCGCACGGCCGTGATAGCCGGCAAGATCGTCGTTTATGTTTACAGTCGGGGCCCTGAAGAAGGAACCCTTTTCGTTGGGGAGGGGCTCCGCGTTCCTTAAGTGTTTCACAGTTTGCCTCAGGTTTTCCTCGTGTTTTCGATGGGGAATCGAAGTTTAATTTCTGGAAGAACGGGGCCTCGTTCGTTATTTAGGGTTCCTTAGGTCAACGCCCCGACTGTATCGCCTGCATTGCCACTCGCAAGCACCATGCATCAAGCCTCGCCGCCTCTCACAGAAGCAGCATCACGGTAATCCTCATGTGCGTACGCTTTCTGTGTTTGAGCCGTGTCTCGTCTTGCAAGTACAATGGCCGCCCGCTACCGGTACCCTGAGTCGCATTGTTCAGCACTTGCATTTGCATCAATCGGAACGCGGTGTATTCTATCACGGGTGGCAATACCCGTGGCTAAATATTTGGGTTATTCAAATCGCGTGGCGACTTGTAATGGTGCTTCATGGTGGCGGGTTGTTGTGGTCTGCCTCACGTCTGAAAGAGCTATGACACACGACACTTCCAAGATGCTAAGAAGAAGAAGAAGAAGTCCGATCGAGCGCCCTAGGACGTCTCGCCCCGCTTGCGGGAACGGCGTGATTCATGCACAAAGAAGAAGACATGCAGCGGAAACATTCAAATAACGAGCACGGTGCCAAGATGTCAAGATGCCTAGAGATGAACACAATGCAGAAGATGCCAAAAGAGGCCATCATTCTCGGCCTGCTCGCCGTGTCCCCCCACCTGGGCGGAAGGGCAGCACGTGGCAGCGGGAAGGCCTGCACGCGGCCGCAATCCATGGGAGTCGGAGTCACGATTTGGATGTCGTGAAGCAAACGAACCTCAGGGGCTCCCACGAGGGCGCGAAGTTATTCGCGCTTCGCGGTCCTCGTTCCTTCTCCCCCTCCTCCTCGCCCTCCCTTTTCCCCTTTGGGGGGGGGGGGGGGGCGCGAGAGCGCGAAAGCATTCGCGCTTAGCGGAGCGCGAAGCGCGAAGTAGGGAGCCCTAGGGAAGAGGCGGAGGAGGAGGAGTGAGGGAGGAAGGAGGAGATGGAGTTAGAGGAGGAGGATGAGGAGGAGGAGGAGGAGGAGGAGGAGGAGGAGGAGGAGGAGATGAGCCCTAGAACGTCCTTCCACTCCATCCCCCCTCGCCCTCCAACGGCGGGGGGGTCAGCCTGCAGGGGCCTCCGCAGCATCCTCGTACCCGCCCTTTCCTGCCGCGCCACGGGCGTTCGTCGCCCGTCGACGCCCCGGCCGCCAGGGGAACACCGAGATGCTCGGCGCTATCCTCGACAGGTGCCTGCCCAGCGTCGTAGATCTCATGATGGACCCGTTCGGGAACTACCTCTGCCAGAAGCCGCCAGAGGGGGGGAAGGGGGGTGGAGGGTGGCGGTTTCGGATGGGGAGGGAGGGCGGGGGGGGGAAAGTGGGGTGGCGCGTTGGCGGATTTGGAGGAGGGAGAGCGTGGGATGAGGAATCGAAGAAGGATGAACTGCATAAACTCAAACTTTCGAAGGTCCACGCCGATTGCTTGGATCTGCGCTGGGGCCCCCTGGCGGCGCCTCTGGCGCCGCTCGCGGCGCGTTCCGCGCGCTGGGGAGGATGGTCCACCGCCGATGCAACAAATCCGTGTGGACTTCCAAACGTTTCTGTTTATGCAGCTGCTTCTCCTTCTTGGAGGAGGAGGAGGAGGAGGAGGAGGAGACGGAGGAGGAGGAGGAGGAAGAGGAGGGGGAGGAGGAGGAGGAAGGAAGAGGCGGAGGAGGAGGAGGAGAAGGAGGAGGAGTAGCAGGAGGAGGAGGAGGAGGGGGAGGAGGAGGAGGAGGAGGAGAAAGGAAGAGGAGGAGGAGGAGGAGGAGAAGGAGGAGGGAGGAAGGAGCAGGAGGAGGAGGGGGAGGAGGGAGGAGGAGAGGAGGAGGAGGAGGAAGGAGGAGGAGGAGGAGAGGAGGAGGAGGAGGAGAGGGGGAGGAGGGGGAGGAGGAGGAGGAGGGGAGGAGGAGGCGGAGGAGGAGGAGTGCTGGGGGGAGGACTTTTGCGAGGCTGATGGAGCTGTGCACCGCGCAGCAGCTCGAGGCGATGGTGGAGCGCGCGCGCGGGTCGCTCGTGAAGGTCTCGCTCAATCTGCACGGGGCCCGTGCCGTGCAGAAGGCCCCCCTCGTGCTCGTGCTCGTGCTCGTCGTCCTCGTCCTCGTCCTCGTCCTCGTCGTCCTCGTCGTCCTCGTCATCCTCGTCGTCATCCTCGTCGTCATCCTCGTCGTCCTCGTCGTCATCCTCGCCGTCCTCGTCGTCCTCGTCGTCGTCCCCGTCGTCCTCGTCGTCGTCGTCGTCGTCGTCGTCGTCGTCGTCGTCGTCGTGGTCGTCGTCGTCGTCGTCATTGTCGTCGCCATCCTGGTCGTCGTCGTCTTCGTGGGCGGCGTCGGCGTCGGCGTCGCTGTGGTCGTCATCCGAATCCTCCTCTCCGTTTTGTGTCACGATAGTGCCGATGCGCTTGGGACCTCGAGGACGTGGTGACACGCGTGAGTGCGTGCAACGAGAGGGAGTACTCCTCCTACTCCTGCTCCTGCTCCTGCTCCTGCTCCTCCTCCTCCTCCTCCTCCTCCTCCTCCTCCTCCTGCTTCCCATCGTCATCGTCTCCCGAGGCCCCGTGGAAGTCAGCGGAGGCCCCCAGAGGCCCGCCGAGGCCCAGCGCGAGCCGAAAGCCTCGAAGAACCTCGACTTTCCTGCTCTCGTTCCTCCTGCTCGCTCTTCTTCTTCCTCCTCCTCCTCCTCCTCCTCCTCCTCCTCCTCTTCTCCTCCTCCTCCCCTCATCCTCCGTCCTCGGTCTCGTTTCCTCTCCTCCCTTTTTTTTTTGTTTCTCTTTCATCTTCTTTCCCTTTTTTTTTTTCGATTTTTTTTTTTCCTTTTCTTTTCCTTCTCCTCCTCCTCCTCCTCCTCCTCCTCCTCCTTCCTCATCCTGCTCGTTCCTCCTCCTCCTCCTCCTCCTCCTCCTGCCCTGCTCGTTCCTCCTCGATCATCCTGCTCGAGAGCCTCGATCCTGCTCTCGATCCTCCTCGCCCGGTCGGTCGGAGTCTCAGAGTCGGGGGGGAAGGCCGCGGTGGCGGGCCCTCTCGGGATGCCTCGAAGCCCTCCGTTCCGAGCCTCCCTCGCAGCCGCGGCCGGCTTCTCGGGAGGCCGGAGGGCTGCCAGGAAGCCCCGCCGCCAAGGGACGGGGGTCAATGCAACGGGGGTCAGCCAGGGCATTGGATCCTGCAGGATCCTGCGAAGACCCCCTCTGGCTGACCCGGGTTAGCAGGCCGCTGGAGGCCGCGAGGCGGCCGCGCATATCGGCTGACCCGGGTTTGCGAAGACCTGCGTTGCCGTTTTTTTTTTGTTCCTGCATTGCAGCTTTTGGTTTCCTGCTGACCCGGGCCTGGATTGACCCGGGTCAGAAGCCCCGCCGCCTTCTGTCGGGTGCTCGTAAAGGGTCATGGCGCCAACAATGGCAGAGCGGATTTCGTTCGGAACGACAGGACGGGCCCGGAGTGTCCTGGCGAATTTCGTTCCGGATTTCGAGGTGGATTTCGTGCGGCCTTTTTTGGGGGGCCAGGAATGGAGACTAAACAAACATCAACGTGAACTTGACTTCGTTTTTCGCTCGCAAGGCGACGCGCGACGAGCTGAAGCGCCACTATGTGGCGCGGTGTTCCGAGCCCAGCCTGCAAGGAAGTCGTGCGACAGAAGAGAAGACCCAATACGCTGATGAGGATGATCATACCAGGGACTACAATGTCCATGATGGCTTCGAGGATCCTTCCCAGAGCATCGCCGCTGGTGGGTGCCAGGGCTGTCGCGACTCGTCGACGCCTGGAGGGGGCCCCATGCTGGCTGGAAGGCCATCGGGGTGGGCATGGGTGCTGCCATCAGCTTCATCGCCTGCGTGGACGCGGGCGGCGGTGGCAGCGGCAGCATGCGACGCTTCCGCACCGGGGGGCCAGAGCAGCAAGCTCGCGCGCCCTTCCAACGCTGGGTGCCTGAGGCAAAGATTTGGTCAGTGGCGAATTCCAACCTCAACGAGTTTCTCCAGGTGGCCTACGCGTCGTCTCGCTTGTCTTGCTCTTCTTCGTCCTCCTCCTCCTCCTCCTCCGCCTCCTCCTCCTCCTCCTCTTCCTCCTCCTCTTCCTCATCCATTCCTTTTCCTTATGAATCATGTCTCCCTGTCGCACCCTGAGGCCAGTTTTTAGATCGGGCCGGACGTTTCGCCTGAGACTTCCTCACCACTTATGATTCTGAAGATGAAAAAGTGACAACAGTTTCACATATGGAGGGGGCGGGTCGTTTTCAAAATATGGCTCTCGCCTGAGCGCTGCGCACATTCGTTTTTACATATTGCAAGAGCTTCGCGGATTGAGGGCGTTTCGTTTTGAAAATGTGGCTCTCGCTTCAACGCCGCGCACATTCGTTGTCAAAAATTGCAAGAATTTCGCGGATTGAAAGCAGGTGGTTTTCAATGTGTGGCTCTCGCTGTAGCGCCGCACGTACTCATTTAAAAGACTGCAAGAGTTTCACGGATTGGGGGCGGCTCTTTTTCAATAAGTGGTTCTCGCCGTAGCGCCCCGCACATTTGTCAAACAAAAAACAGAAGTGTTTCAAGGATCGAGGGCGGTTCCTTTGAGCTTGGTTTTTTTAGACTGGGCGATAACGCTTGCGATCGCCCCCGCCCCCCCCCCCCCGATCACGTCACACTGTTTTCCCCACGCGTCTCCTCCTTTTCCTCGAGGGGGGACGGGGAGGATAGGGAAAACTACGCGAAGAGGAGGAACAGGATGAGGAGGAGGAGGATGACGAGAACGAGGAGGAGGAGGGGGACGACGACGACGACTACGACCCCGATGACAGCGATCACGACGACGACGACGACGTTGACGACAACGACAACGATGATCGTGACGGCGACTCCGACGCTGACGACGACGACGGCGACGACTCAGACGACAATTCCCACGAGTCCGATTGGACGACGACGATGCCAAGGACGACGACGACGAACATTCCGACGATGACGACGACTTCGACGACGATGACGACAACTCCGATGACACTCGAAGCCTCCGATTGGGGGGACACGTAAAGGATGGGGAGGGGGAGGCTTCTGGGATCCTCCTGATCCTCCTCCTCGGGGGTCCGTCTCCTCTACTCCCTCCCCCTTTGGGCTGCCGCCACCTCCTTCTTCGCGGCTGCGGGCAACGCCCGACGGGCCGCTGGCGCCGAGCGCCGAGCTGGCGACGCCCGCCAGCTCCCGTGCTGAGTGCCTGCGACCCGCGGGCGCTCGGCGCGGCGGCCGCCGAGGCGGCGACCCGCGTCCGCGGGAGTGTCTCTCTCTCTCTCTCTCTCTCTCTCTCCTCCTCCCCAGGGCCCGTGGGCTCGAAAAAGGCCCCAGGAGGCCGAAACCCGCCGTGATGTGATCGGTCCCCCCCCGATCACGCCTATGATCGCGGATAATAAACAAGGGCTCCCTCGAGGGCGCGAAGTTATTCGCGCTTCGCGGTCCTCGTTCCTTCTCCCCCTCCTCCTCGTCCTCCTATTCTCCCTTTGGGAGGGCGGCGCGAGAGCGCGAAGTTATTCGCGCTTCGCGCTTCGCGCGGCGCGAAGCGCGAAGTTGGGAGCCCTTAGTAAAAAACAGTCTCGTTTCAAAATGTGGCTCTCATTGTTGCGCCGCGCACATTCGTTTTAAACAGTTGCAGGAGCTTCACGGATTGATGGCGGCTCCTTTTCAACATGTGGTTCTCGCCACAGCGCCGCGCACGTTCGCTGCAAAAGCTTGGAAGCGCTTCGCGGATTGAAGGCGGTTCCTTTTCAAAGTGTGGCTCTCGCCATAGCGCCGCGCACATTCGTTTCAAACATCTGCAAGAGCTTAAAGGATCCCCATGATCGACGTACCAGAAACTGTGTTTTGGAAGGATTCAGGATTATGCGGGTGCAGCAATGATGTTGGTTCGCGGTGCTGACGTCCCAAAAATGGCGTTCTGGCACGATTCAGGATCGTCAATACGCATCATTCAGGTTGATCCGTGGCGTTACCATCCCGAGAATAACGTTTTGGTATGCTTCAGGGTATTTAAGCGGTTGTCTTTCGACGAGGCAGTCCCCTCAATGAAATGAACCGTTGTAGGGGCTTATGAAGAGGGAGCTTGGAGGGAGGTTGAATTTCAACATCGTTGGTGACTCTTGGGTTTACACTGGTCCTCCTCCTCCTCCTCCTCCTCCTCCTCCTCCTCCTCTTCCCCCCTTCCCCCTCCTCCTCCTCCCCCCTTCCCCCTCCTCCTCCTCTTCCTCCTCCTCCTCCTCCTCCTCCTCCTCCTCCTCCTGTCGCTCCCACGGCGATTGCTGAGGCCTGGTGAGTTGTCCCTGGCCCCATCGCCTGGCCCTCCACTCGGTTCGTGTGCGTGCACGCGTGCGTTTCGTGCAGTGGGGCCAACTCTTTTATTTCGGGGGTTATCGCCCCGTGGTCATGGGTTGGAGGTGTCGCTGCGGACAGGAGCTTGGCTCCCAGCCCCGACACGCTCGCAGCCGTGGCCTGTGTGCTTTCCGCATGTCCTTTGGTACAGTCGAGGGCCTGCGGGCTCCGAGGCACATTCCACGGGCAGGTCTTGCTAGTGGCATTGCTACCCGCCTAACTCTGGTGGGTTCGTTGTCGCGCGTCCTCCTGTGTCGAGGGCCTCTTTGTTTTGTTCGTCGTGGGAGGACTGTGGCACTGTGCCCTGCGTGCCTCTGCTGGCCCTCGTCCAGGTGTAGCAGGGTCCCCTTGGTCCCTGTGTGCCTTTGAGGGGCCACACTGAGGTGGGTCTCTGTTGTCTGGTCTCGGTTTAGCGCCCAGGCACACCCACCTCTCTGTCGCAGGCGATTCCGTACCGATTGCTCAGTGCGGTCGGGTACGGCAGTGGCTGATTTCCCTCAGGGCCTCGCCCACCCTGAGTGGTGTATGTGGGCTGCAGCATGGTCCCATGCAAAAAAAATCCCCCTCCTCCTCCTCCTCCTCTTCCTCCTCCTCCTCCTCCCCCCTTCGCCCTCCTCCTCCTCCTCTTCCTCCTCCTCCGTTCCTTTCCCTTCTAATCCATAACTCCCCTGTCGCACCTCGAGGCCAGTCGGAAAGATGTGCCAGGCGTTTCGTCTGAGATTTCTTCACTCGTTATGATCTTGAATAATTGCAGATTGGCCATTGTTTCACGGATGGAGGCGGATGGTTTCAACATTCGCTTTTCCACCGCGCCCATTCGGTGCAAAACGTTGCAAACTATTCACGGATTGAGGGCGGGCTGTTTGCAAAACGTGGTTTTCGTTTCAGCGCCGCGCCCACTCATTCCAAACATCTGTACGAGTTTAATCGACTGAGGGCGAGTCGTTATCAGAATGCATTTCTCGCTTAAGCGCCGCGCACGTTTGTTATCAACATTTGCAGGCGCTTCACGAATTGAGGGTGGGCCTTCAAGATGCGGTTTCGTTTTAGCGCCGCGTACACTCGTTTCAACATGATGCAATCGTTTCACGGATGGAGGGCGGGTCGTTTTCAAAATGCGGTTCCCGCAGTAGCGCCGCGCGCATTCGTTTTGAACATTTGCGAGAGTTCCGCAGACTCCCATGGTTAGCGTGTCAGAAATGGCGTTGTGGAGCGATTCCAGACTGTCAGGGCGCAGTGTGTATTTCTTATGTGGTTGCGAGCGCGACGGGGTTCGCATGCTTTCGTGCCCGTTCCATGTTCGCAACACGATTCGGCTTGCAGCTCCACAGAACTGTTCACCACGGCTCCGCTACCATGACAAGCTACGCGGGCGCGCGGGGGAAGGCGGAGGCCTTTTTGCTTTGGCTTTGCTCGATAGCTCAACCCCTCTTGCGGCAGGATGAAATCTAACAGGAGGGGGAGGAGGACGACGAGGAGGACGAGGAGGAAGAGGAGGAGGAGGAGGAGGAGGAGGACGGGCACCAAGAGGGAAGGGAGGAGGAGGAGGAGGAGGAGGGGTGGACGAGGGAGGATTATGACCCCCCCCCGCTCCTACTCCTCCGCCTTCCTCCTCCTCAGCCTCCTCCTCTTCCTCTCCTACCTCCTCCTCCTCCTCCTCCTCCTCCTCCTCCTCCTCATCCTCCTCCTCCTCCTCCTCCTCCTCCTCCTCCCCGCCCATTCCCCCCTTCGCCCTCCCCCCCCCGCGGCCAGCTGATCGAAGCCGCCCAGCGGGCGCCGAACGCGCAGCGCCAGCTGGCTGTGGCGCTGGACGGCGCGGTGGCCGGCCGGCCGGCTGGCGGGTTCTGCTCCTCTCCGCCGCCTCTCTGCACGCACGAAATGGGTACTGAAAGAATGGGCACAATGCCCAACAGCAGTTCCTGTTCATTGTGAACAGGACTCGCTGTCCGCGCCGCCGCGGCCTGTGTCCATTCGAGACAGGAGGCCGCCTGACCAACAGCGGCTGCTGTTGGCTTGAGAAGCCAACATTTGCTGTCTGGCATCGTACCCATTTTTTCGGTACCCATTTCGGGCGTCCAAATCCTGGGGCAACGGCAGGGGCGGGCTGGCCCCGGGTGGTCCAGGAGGGAAAACACACACACACACACACACACACACACACACACACACACACACACACACACACACACACACACACACACACACACACACACACACACACACACACACACGCACACGCACACTCACACGCACACGCACACGCACACGCACACGCACACGCACACGCACACGCACACGCACACGCACACGCACACGCACACGCACACGCACACGCACACGCACACGCACACGCACACGCACACGCACACGCACACGCACACGAACACGCACACGCACACGCACAC